CAGAGTCGAACTGCCCCATAGAATTTCCAAAGCTGTAAATCTTTATGGAAACAGACTACCACATCTTTCTCCCATGGAGCAGCTGGTGGCTTTGAACTGCCAACCTTTTGGTTAACATCCAAGTGTTTAACCACGGCCCCACCAGGGCTCCTCTGCTCTCAGCCTGGCTTTGGCCATAATGGGGGCAGAGATGAGGCAGACTCAGGCGTGGCTCTCAGGAGCTCCCAGTCGGTAGGGAGGCAGCCTCAGGCACAGACTCAATCCAGAACAAAGTTTGCTTTGATGGTATAACAGAGCATTGGGGATGAACAGAGAGAACCCTAAATCAAGTCTATGGGAGGAGGGTCCAGGAAGACTTCCCTGAAATGGGCTGTTTGAGTAGGGTTTTGAAAGATCCATAGGAGTTCACCTTTAAAGCAACACTCCTCCCACAACATCACTGCTCAGATCCCTTGCGGAGTATGAAATGAATCCCCATCCTTGGAGTGAACCAGGAAAAGGAGGCAAAAACATCCACCAGGAGCTCCCCCAAAATCTCTACCTTACCGCAATTTTGACATTTTGTTCTCTTCCTCCCCCAAATAAAAGGTCCAAAAGGGAACAGGAAGTGACGGAGTTAAAGAAGGCTCTGGAGGAGGAGACGAGAACTCACGAAGTGGCCATTCAGGAGCTGAGGCAGCGCCATGGCCAGGCGCTGGGGGAGCTGGCGGAGCAGCTGGAGCAGGCCCGGAGGGTGAGTGAGGGCAGGGTCTGTAGGGAGGGGGTCCATAGGACACTAGTTAAAGGAGGTAGCTCTGTTGAGTCCTAAGCCAGCCCATCTCTCTCAGGTTCTTTCCTCACACATTCGTGTCATTTCATCTTTCCCTCAGCAAGCATTAACTGAGTGCATATTACGTTCCAGGCACAGTGCTGGGGCCAGGCAGTGAACTGAACAATCAAAACTCCCTGTCCTTGTGATGCTCATGCTCTAGTGGACAAATCAGAGAGTAAACAGGATAAATCCATGCGTACTAGAATGTTGGGGTGATAAGCTCTATTGGAAAACAATGAACAGGGGAAGGTGGGTCAGAGTGCTAAGGGGGTGTGGGTTGTGATTTTAAGTAGAGTGCCAACAGAAGAAGTCTGGAAGAGGTGGCATCTGAGTAAAGAACTGAGGGGAGGGGAGGGAGAGCCATGTGGGCATCAGGGGGAAGTGTGTGCCAGTCAGAGGGAACAGCCAGTGCAAAGGCCCTGAGGTGGGCAGGTGACTGAGTATTTAAGGAACATTGAGGAGTTCCAGGCACAGGGGACAGCCAGTGCAAAGGCCCTGAGGTGGGCAGGTGACTGAGTATTTAAGGAACTTTGAGGAGTTCCAGGCACAGGGGACAGCCAGTGCAAAGGCCCTGAGGTGGGCAGGTGACTGAGTATTTAAGGAACATTGAGGAGTTCCAGGCACAGGGGACAGCCAGTGCAAAGGCCCTGAGGTGAGAGGGTTCCTGGGTGTTTAAGGAACAGTGAGAAGGCCAGTGCGGCTGGAACAGAGAGCATGTGGGAAGGGGAGAATGGAGTGTGATCTCAGGACCCAGAAATGACTACCCACAAGGGGTTCTTGGCCTGGTGGGGGAGATAGACAAGGACATAAACACTCCTGGTGCTGTGTGATGTGTGCCCAGTGGAGGTAGACAAGGCATTCTGTAAGCCCAAAAGAGGCCCCCGCTGCTCCCTGGGGTCCCTGGCCTGGTGGATAGGGGAGGGGACACTTAAAAACTTTCGTTCATCTCCCTCCCCCACCAGGGCAAGAGTGTGTGGGAGAAGGCCCGGACAGCCCTGGAGGCCGAGGTGTCCGAGCTACGGGCAGAGCTGAGCAGCTTGCAGACCATGAGGCAGGAGAGTGAGCAGCGGAGGCGCCGCCTGGAGTCACAGCTGCAGGAGGCGCAGGGCCGGGCCGGTGATGGGGAGCGGGCACGGGTGGAGGCTGCTGAGAAGCTGCAGCGAGCCCAGGTGAGTGGAGAGGCCAGGACTGGTTGCAGGGTGGTCTCTGTTGTGTGACCACTTTTTGGCTATTAGGAATAATGCTACTGTGAACATTTGTGATCAAATTCTTATGTAGACTTATGTTTTCATAAGTTTTCACTTCTTGTGGGTATATACCTAGGAGCGGAATTGCTGGGTCATAGGGTAACTCTGAGGAGCCCTGGTGGAGTAATGGTTAAGTGCTCGGCTGCTAACTGAAAGGCTGGCGATTTGCACCCACCTGGCAGCTCTGGGGGAGAAAAGACCTAGCAATCTTCTCCCGTAAAGACTGCAGCCTAGGAAACCCTAAAGGGCTGTTCTACTATGTTACATGGGGTCACTGTGAGTCAAAAATCGACTTGACGGCACTTAACAGTAACAACAGGATAACTCTGTGTTTAACCTAAGGCATTAGGGTTTCAGTGGCAGAATTCTCACCTTACCTGCGGGAGACCCGGGTTTGATTCCTGGCCAGTGCACCTCATGCACAGCCACCACCTGTCTGCCAGTGGAGGCTTACATGTTACCATGATGTTGAACAAGTTTCAGAGGCGCTTCCAGACTAAGACAGACTAGGAAGAAAGGTCTCATGATCAGCTTCCAAAAAATCAGCCAGTGAAAACCCATGGATCACAACGGTCTGAACGGCGATGATCACAGGGATGGTTCAGGGCCTGGCAGCGTTTCTTTCCGTTGTGCACAGGATCACCGTGAGGCGGGGGCCGGCTCCACGCCAGCTAATAACAACGTTTAACCTTTTGAGGGGCTGCCAGTGGTTTTCCACAGAGGTTGCTCCAGCGTGCATTCCTACCGGCAGTGTGTGGTGGGATTTGAGATGGAGGGAAGGGATGAGTTGGCTGGGTTGAAGCCCAGTGGAGGGCTTCACCCCAATGCCCCTGCCCGCAGGCTGAGCTGGACAACGTATCTGGGGCGCTGAGTGAGGCTGAGTCCAGAGCCATCAGGCTGAGCAAGGAGCTGAGCAGCACTGAGGCCCAGCTGCACGATGCCCAGGTGACCCCAGGCCTGCCCTTTCATCCCCCACCCCCCACACCAGCCCCCACCCTTTTCCTGACCTAGCTGCCATCCGCTTTCCCTCTGTCTACAGGAACTGCTGCAGGAGGAAACCAGGGTGAAGCTGGCCTTGGGGTCCCGGGCACGAGCCCTGGAGTCTGAGGCTGCCGGCCTGCGGGAGCAGCTGGAGGAGGAGGCGGCTGCCAGAGAGCGGGTGGGGCGGGAGCTGCAGGCGGCCCAGGCCCAGGTGAGCAGCCCCAGCAGGAGACCTGTAGGGGAGACACTGTCCCCCACCCTGTTCTTCCCAGCTCAGGCACAGTATCTTAGTTTGCTAGTGCTGCCATAACAAAAATGACAAGTGGGTGGTTTTAAAGAACAGGAATTTATTTCCTCACCGTTAAGGAGGCTCAACTACTAACCGAAAGGTTGGCAGTTTGAACCCAGCCAGTGGTGCCGTGAAAGAAAGGCCTGGCAATCTGCTTCCATAAAGATTACAGCAGGAAAACCCTATGGAGCTTAGTTTGTCTCTGTAACATGTGGGTCAACTCAATGGCAGCGGGTTTGGTTTTGGTTTTAAGGAGACTAGACGTGCAAATTCATAGTGTTCTAGCAGGAGGTCCTTCTTTGCCTCTTTCAGCTTCTAGTGGCTGCTGGAAATGCTTGGTGTTCCTGGGCTTGTAGATGCATTTGTCTCTGTCATCTTTCTTCCCCCTGTGTGTCTGTGTCTATTCTGCCCATTTTCTAAGACATCACTCAGAAGGGATTAGGTTTAGGACCCACCCTACTCTAGTATGACCTCATTCACATAACTTTAAAAAAAAAAAAAAAAAAAACACTATTTCCAAACAGGGTCACATCCACAGATATGGGAGTCAGGACTTCAGCATAACTTTTTGGGGGACACAATTCAATCTATAACAGCCTCATTGTCCACCAAGTCATCAGGTCAAACCCTGGGTGCTGTTATTACCCCTTCCCTCTCTCTCACTTCCCACAGCCCTCCTGCCCCTGGCACTGCCCCGTCCCCTCCTCTCTGTCCCCATAACCCCTGCCCTGGCTCATCGAAGCCTCTTCTCAATCCTCCCAGCCTCCAATTTCTCCCCCTCCAGACTCAAAAGGGTCTTTTGACACCCAGAGCTGGCCCTGCCCCTCCCTTGCTCATAGTTCTCTTGGGGACCCCCAGCAACCCTCCCCAGACACAACCTATGCCCCTCAGCCAGGCATTCGAGGCCCTCCGTTCTCCGGTTCTTCCTTCGTGTTCAGCTGTATTCATCTTTCATCTCTCCTCCACTTCATCTAGAAAACCCTTTTTCATTCTTAAACAGATTGAACATCAGCCCCCCTGCAGTGGGAAGCCTACAGGCAGGGTGCATTGCCCCCTCTGAGCTTCCACAACCCTTCTTTCTCTTTCTGTCCCATTCCAGTCACCCTGGGCTAGGACTTTTTGTGGTCAAGAGTCTTCCCACCAAACTAAGAGCTCTTTAAAAGTGGGACCCTGTCAGAGTTAGATCTGTATTCCCAGCATCACCGAACAAAAAGCCTGGCATATACAGTAAGCCTTGAAAAGAATGCCTGTTGAATGAATGAGTGATGAATGCTTGCCTGAAAATACCCCTCTCCAACGGGTGAACTCCTACACATACCTCAAGACCCATCTCAAATGTCCCCTCCTCCAGAAACCTCTCCTAAATGTTCTAAACAGAATCCTACCCCTATTTTGGACTTCCGTGGCTCTCCTACTTCCTCTACCGTAGCCTCTTATCATCCTGGCTGTGACTCTCAGTCTCCTCCATCAGACTGAGGATTCCCCAGGGTAGGGTCTAGGTTGGATTCATCTCTGGTTCCTGGCAGAAGTAACTCTAAACCCCTGGAGGAACCAAGACTCACAGTACTCACAGCCTCAACCCCCACTTTGAGGCAAGAAGCCCAGTAGAATGATTCCTTTCTCTCTTTGGGCCTCAGTCTCCTCATCTTGGAAATGAGGACATCACCAGTCCACACCTTGGTCATGACCATGACTGCTGCTGACACTTTCCCCCCTCCTCCCAGCTCTCAGAGTGGCGGCGGCGCCAGGAGGAGGAAGCAGGGGCACTGGAGGCAGGGGAGGAGGCACGGCGACGGGCAGCCCGTGAGGCTGAGGCTCTGACCCAGCGCCTGGCAGAAAAGACAGAGGCAGTGGAACGGCTGGAGCAGGGCCGCCGCCGGCTGCAACAGGAACTGGATGATGCCACCATGGATCTAGAGCAACAACGGCAGCTCGTGAGCACACTGGAGAAGAAGCAGCGCAAATTCGACCAGGTGAGTCACCTTGGTTTACCCAGCTGAGAAATCAGGATGCTGATTTATGCTTCCCGTGGTCATTGTGAGGAATTGGTAATATGCAAGATGCTTCTTCCCTCTAATCCTCTGTAAAGTGGGATAATAATAAGATACCCATCCAGCCTGATTTATGCCTGTTGTTCCAGCATAATTATTAGTAGTGTTCCCTTTTACTGTCAAAAATGTCCTGCCCTGATGACTGAACGTTATGATCAAAGATTCTCTAGAAGATGGATGAACCCCTGAAACTATTGCCCTGAGATAATCTTTAAACCTTAAACCAAAAGTGTCTCCTGGAGTCTTCTTTAAACCAAACAACAGTTTAGCTTAACTTGTAAAGAGTGTCTGCCTTGCGCATTATGCTCTTTTGAGAACTATCTTTATGGGATGAAATTGACAACAGCAACTTGAAAAAGTAGATAGGACCCTTAGGGGGCAGTGATTTTATGTTAATGGGGGAGGAACAACTCAGAAAAAGAAGGTGAGAGTGGTTGCACAACTCAGAATGTAATCAATATCACTAAGTGTTACAGGTAGAAACTGTTGAATTGGTATATGTTTTGCTGTATATATTCTCAACAACAAAATAAATGAAATTTAAAAAAAAAAAGATTCTCTAGAAGAATCTTAATCAAAGCAAGGGGTTGGGGGTGGGAAATGCAGAACAGAATGTAAAATTTTCATGGAATCCAGACTGTTTGGAACTATGGAGGCCAGATGAACCCCTGAAACATTTGCCCTGAGATAATCTTTAAACCTTAAACCAAAAATATCCCCTGAAGTCTTCTTTAAACCAAACAACAGTTTAGCTTAATTAGTAAAGAATGTCTGCTTTGAGCATTGTACTATTTTAAAGAACTGTCTATATGGGATCAAACTGACAGAAATTCACTACCCCCTGAGCTTCCTATCTGACCTTTCGAGTTACGACTGTCCAGTGGAGGAGGAATAATTCAGAAAAAGAGGGTGAGAATGGTTGCACAACTAGAAGAATGTAATCAGTGTCATAGAATTATACATGTAGAAATTGTTGAATTGGTGTATGTTTTACTGTGTACATTTTCAACAACAATATTTTTAAAAAGTGTCCTGGTTTGGATGATAAAATATAAGGACACCCTCTGAGTACCCCTGAGAGTACTTATAGGATTAAATGAAATAACACATCTCACTTCTGCTGACTCACTGTGTACCTCAGGCAAGTTACTTTTCCCATCTCAGTCTTAGTTTACCCATCTAAAAAATGGGGATAATATTTACAGTTTTCAGATCTCTTCTGAAATAACCCTGTCTCTTCACTCATACCCATCTTGTCCTGAAGCTTATCTATCATAGTTAAAGTCCTTGTGTGATAATTCCAATATCTAGGTCATCTATAGGTTTGTTTCTATTGACTGATTTTTCTCATAACTGTGAGTCCTGTTCTCTTGCTTTTTCATGTCTTGTAATTTTTATTGGTTGCCAGTCACTGTGTCTAAAAAAAAGAGTAAAGGCTAAAGTATATTAAATATATATAATTTTTTTCTAACACCACTACCACCCCAAGAGGAGGAAACACCCTTTCTTCTATTAGATTCCAGAGTGAGATGTATAAGGAGCCCTGGTGGCAGAACAGTTAAATGCTCAACTGCCAGCCAAAAGGTTGATGGTTCAAACCATCCAGTGGCTCCACCGGAGAAAGACCTGACGATCTGCTTCTGTAAACATTGCGGCCAAGAAAACCCTATGGAGCAGTTGTACTCTGTTATATGGGGTCGCCATGAGTCGGCATAGACTCAGTGGCACCTAACAACAACAGCAACAGAGTGAGAGGCTCATCAGTTTGATCCACTCAGGAATTGAGCTGGTTTGGGACAGGGTTGCAACTTTAATCCCTCTACCTTCCTCTTGTGTCTCTGCCTCTGTCTGTCTCTTTGTCTCTCTCTGTCTCTGGCTGCTCCCTCTTCCCCATCCCCTTGTACACTCCTCTCAGCTAATCTGTTTCCCTCCACCCCATCTCCCTCAACTCGGAAGCTCCTGGCAGAGGAGAAGGCAGCTGTACTGCGGGTGGTGGAGGAACGTGAACGGGCCGAGGCAGAGGGCCGGGAGCGCGAGGCTCGGGCTCTGGCACTGACGCGGGCCCTGGAGGAGGAAAAGGACGCACGCGAGGAGCTAGAACGGCAGAACCGGGCACTTCGGGCCGAGATGGAGGCACTGCTGAGCAGCAAGGATGACGTCGGCAAGAGCGTGAGTGGGACAGTTAAGGGCTCAATTACTAGCTCAAAGGTTGGTGGTGTGAATCCACCCATTGGCACCTCAAAGGTCACAGTCTTAAAAAGCCCATGGAGCAGTTCTACTCTGCGCACATTGGGGTCGCCATGAGTTGGAATCAAAACAACAACAAGAACATGTGGTCACCTGTATGCACACACAGGATGTTGAGAGACACATACATACGTGTGTGCTCTCACACACAGAGCGTGAAGAGTACCATCCATCAAAGTCATGTGTTCACACACAAACACGGACCACGAGGAGAGCTGCTCACCAAACACAGGAGTTGATGTACACATGCACGGAGTATGAGGAGAATCTTCCATCAAACACATATGTTCATACAAACACAGAACATGAGAACTGCCCACCAAACATACATGTTCATGTACATGTACACAGAACATGAAGAAAATTTTCCATCAGACACATATGTTCATGCACACAGAGTGTTTGGGGTTTGAATTTACACCTGTAGGAAAGGTCTGGGAACCCCCAAGATGAGAAAAAAGTAGAAGTAAATAGTTGTGAATTGGTAGTGTCCTGTGGAGTCTGGCATAAACCAACAATGATCAGCTCTGGAGCTACACGCCTTCAACCCATTTCACACAGGATTCCTGAAGATGAAGCCCCAGTGAAGTGAGCTCACAATCGAAAATTACAAAACCCATGAGGCACTAATCCACCGTGAGTGAGAGTCACCTGACCTAACAGACACTTGAATTGGACTCTCAACAGCTTCAGATAATAGAATTATCTGAAGATTATTAATTGAAGATTATTAATTATTAATAGTTATTAAATATTATTAACAAAATGTTTTAGGATGATTCAAAATAAGACACATAGTAAATAGGTGCTTAGTAGATGACGAATGAATTAATGAATAAACGAATGAATGAACAAACAAACTAGATGGGCACATCTACTTGATGTCTCCCCGATCCTCCATCAATGGAGGACCCTAGCCTGCCTCCTCCCTCAGTGACCCAGGTGCCCAGTGCTCAGTTTCCCTCTCCACCAGGTACATGAGCTGGAACGAGCCCGCCGGGTGGCAGAACAGGCAGCCAGCGACCTGCGAACCCAGGTGACAGAGCTGGAGGATGAGCTGACAGCAGCTGAGGAAGCCAAGCTGCGCCTGGAGGTGACGGTGCAGGCTCTCAAGGCACAGCATGAGCGGGACCTGCAGGGCCGTGATGAGGCTGGTGAAGAGAGGCGCCGGCAGTTGGCCAAGCAGGTACAGGCAAGCGGGATGCGACAGAGTCCCGATCCAGCTGAGGTGTGGCCTGATGCAGACAGCCACAAGAGAGGCCTGAGGTCTCATCCACCCACCTGCTACTTGGTGTTTCTACGAAAGACCCTCCTGCTAGCCAGCCATCCTCCTCCCACAAAACCAACTTCCTGTTCTCCCACCCATTAACCTTCCACGCACCCACACACATATCTTCTCCCCCACCCAGTCATCCACCTGTTGACCTACCCAATCATACATCATCCATCCACCAAACCACTCATCCACCCATCTACCTCCTTCATCTACCCAACTACCTTCCCACCACCTTTAGAGTTTATTTCCAACTCACTTATACCCATCCATCTGCCAGCTAACTCTGCATCTAACCACTCACTCCTCCATCCCCCCAATTACTCACTTACTCATCTACCTACCCTGTCTCCTTAACCACCTCATCCAGCCACCCATACACAGCCTCTATACCAACTGATGTTTATACCCATACAACCAACCCTGGATCCAACCACTCCTCCATCTGTCCAACTACTTCCCCATCTACTCAACAATCTCATCTACCCAGCCACCCACTACACAGCCTCTCCCTCAATCCGCACTGCCTCAAACCTTGTATCCAACCACTCCTCCATCTACCCAACTACTCAGCTATCTACCTCCCCCATCTACTCAACCACCTCCTCCACTCAACCACCCACTACATAACTCCTCTACCAACTCACACTTATACCCAGCCACCCACCACCCAACCCTGCATGCAACCGCTCCTCCATCTACCCAACCACCCATCTACCTCCACCATCTCCTCAACCACCCCAACCACCCTAACAACTCCAATCACCCATCTACCCACAACACAGCCTCTCCCTAAACCCACACTGTATTCAACCCTGAATCAACCACTCCTCCATCTACCAGCCAGCCCCTTCCAGTCAGCTTCTCTCCCCAAGCCAACTACTGCCCTATGTAGCCAGCCCCTCCATACCCCTTCCATCCAACTTCCTCTCTACAACCCAACTACTCCTCAATGTACCCAGCCCCTCCACACCCCCAGATGACCCCTATACTCCTTTACTCACTCATTGACCACCTCGTCTCCACTCCCCTTCACCCACATCCTTATTCTCATTTATTCAGTCACTCACCTGCTCCCTCCTGTGTTCCATCACTTTCTCCCTCTACTTAGTATTCACTCATTGTTTACTCAACAAGGAATGGATGTTTTGTGGTCTTCAGGGGGCAGGGCCCTCTATTAGGTGATGAGTACTGAACATGGAAGGGGCTGGGAGTGTTAGAAAGATCCATCTGGGACCACGTGGACAACAAACTGAAGGGGGTGAGACTGGAAGCTGGGAGGCTGCAGAGTAGAGAGAAACAGGTGACCTATGGCCAGGGTCCCTGGATGTTTTTCATCTCCCCTGGTCTTACTGATACAGCCATGGATAAGTGTCCTAGACTTTGTCCTGGGGATGCTGGAGAGCCATGGGAGGGTCAAGGTCAGCTCTGCGTGCAGAAAGACCCCTCTGGAGCTGTGTGAGAATGGGCTGGAGAGGAGGCTGGAGCAAGGGAAGAGGAGGAGGCTTGAGCTGGGTCTATGGGGACTGAGAGGAGGGGACAGGAGCTGGGCAGGGCCTACAGGGTGGACATCTACGACACTAGCATGTAGAGGTAGTCTGGGCATCATGCCCCATGACCTGGCCCCTCCTGGCCTCCTGCCCTAGCTGAGAGACGCTGAGGTGGAGCGGGATGAGGAGCGGAAGCAGAGGGCACTGGCTGTGGCCACCCGCAAGAAGCTGGAAGCAGAGCTGGAGGAGTTGAAGGCTCAGATGTCAGCTGCTGGGCAGGGCAAGGAGGAGGCCATGAAGCAGCTTCGCAAGATGCAGGTGAGGACGGGGTGGGACTTGGGCCAGGCTGGGGAGGGGAGGGTATTGCTGGAGCCCCCAGCATTACTTCAGGGCCTAAGACCAGCTTAGACCCCATCTCCTCAACCCCATGAGCAGCATCCAAATTAGTCAGCACCTTTATAAACATCCATGGTCCCTGGGTGGTGCAAACAGTTCGCACTCAACTACTAACCTAAGAAAGTCCTGAGAATCTGCTTCCTCAAAGATTGTTGTTAGTTGCGGTTGACTCAGTTCTGACTCATGGCGACCCCATGTGTGCAGAGTAGAACTCCTCCATAGGGTTTTCAAGGTTGTGACCTTTCTGAAGCAGATTGCCAGGCCTTACTTCTGAGGCACCTCTGGGTGAGTTCAAACCACCAACCTTTCAGTTAGTAGTCCAGCCTTTAACGATTTGCACTGCCTCGGGACACTCCTCACAGATTACAGCCAAGAAAACTCAGGGAAACAGCGCTACTCTGACACACGTGGTGTCGCCATGAATTGGATTCAACTCGACAGCAACGGGTTTGGTTTTCGTTTATAAACATCCATACTGCAAATACTCATTTGGTTCTTATTCTGTTTTATTTACCTTATTTAAAATGTTTAATTTTTAAGTCCATTGTCCTCATTTTCTTTTAGTTTTGAAATGGAAATACTTTAGTTGTTGTTGTTTTCCTGATTATGAAAGTTATGCCCGGTTGTTCTTTTTTTTTTTTTTTTTAATGTATAGGTATTTGCTGTCCAGTATGGTGGCCACCAGTCACATGTGGCTATTTAGTGTCTGAAATTTGAATTCTAGCTCACCCATATTGAGATGGCCTGTGAGTGAAATATGGAGTCCCTGGGTGGTGCTAACAGTTAAGCGCTTGACTGCTAACCAGAAGGTTGGCAGTTTGAATCCACCCAGAGACAACTCGGAAGAAAGGCCTGGCGATCTACTTCCGAAAAACCAGCCATTGAAAACCCTATGGAGCACAGGTCTACTCTGACACAGGGGGTTTCCATGAGTCAGAGTCGACGCAACAGCAACTGGTTTGTTTTTTGTTTTTTAATATTTTATTGTGTTTAAGGTGAGAGTTTACACAGCAAATTAGTTCCCATTTAACAATTTCTACACAAATTATTCACTGACATTGGTTATATTTTTCACAATGTGTCATTATTCTCATTCATTCCATTCTGGTTGTATCATTTCCAGTACTCTAGTTTCCCTGCCCCCTTAGCTTCTCATTTTTGCATTAATTTTTTACCATTTGTCCTCCTATAGTTGATTTGGCAACTGCTTTTTATAAGTAAAATATACGTACTAGATTTCAAAAACCTTAGTACAAACAAAAGAAGGTAGAGTATCTCATTAATAATTTTCATGTTGATTATAAATTGAAATAAAAATATTTTAGATATATTAGGCTCAATATAGATTTCAAATTAGTTTCACCTGTTTTTTTTGTTGTTGTTTGTTCTAGTATTTTAATATTATTGTTGTTAGGTGCCATCAAGTCTGTTCCGACTCATAGCAACCCCACTTGACAAAGTAAACTGCTGCATAGGGTTTTCTTGGCTGTAATCTTTATGGAAGCAGATTGCTAGGCCTTTCCCCCATGGAGCCACTGGGTGAGTTCAAACCACCAACCTTTCGGTTAGCAGCCGAGTGCTTAACCATTTGTACCAACAGGGCTCCTTTTTAGTGTGGCCCCTAGAAAATTTAAAACAACACACGTGGCTAACGTTATATTTCTATCGGGCAGCACTGGTTTAGAAAGATTCCCCCAAACAGTAAAAGTTGCCATTCCTCTCCCACTAAGAGAAAACCCCTGCACTTCAAACTTACATCAAGCAAATAACAACAACAACATCCACAAGAAGTCCCATAGTGGTTAAGTCTGTGGACTCTGTGGCTAGACAGTTTCTCCATCCGTAAGCTGTGGATGATCAAAGTCCTTACTAACTGGAGTTGCGAGTATTAAGGGATCTGGTACATGTATATCTCTTAGAAGAGGGCTCAGTAAGGACCTGCCCAGGGTCACACAGCAAGTGGCTTGGGGGATAGCACCCAGGTCTGTAGGACTCAGAGAATGCCCTGCTTGTTCGTGGGGAATGAGGAGCCCCCGCTGGGCTGGTGTGAAGGTGGGGAGCGCTCCCTGTAAGACAGGCCAGACTGAACCTTTCCCCTTGCCCCCGTCCATTCCACCCAGGTCCAGATGAAGGAGCTGTGGCGGGAGGTGGAGGAGTCCCGCACCTCCCGGGAGGAGATTTTTGTCCAGAACCGCGAAAGCGAGAAGCGTCTGAAGGCGCTGGAGGCCGAGGTGCTGCGACTGCAGGAGGTGAGGCAGGGTGGGTGGGGCCATGTGAGTGGGCGGGGCCAATCACAAGTTGCCTCCAGTGCCAACCAAGAGGCGGGGCCAACCACACGCTGCATTCAATGCTGTGTGAAGGGTAGGGAGGTGGGCGGGGCTAACCACACCCTGCCTCCAATGCCAGCCAAGGGATGGGGAGGTGGGCGGAGCCAACCACATGCTTCCTCCAATGCCCGTCAGAGGGGTGGGACTTTGTCCTGAGAGGGCTGGGGAGCCATGGGAGGTCTGTGAGCAAGGGAGGGGCAGGGTCAGCTCTGAGGATGCATGGGGATTGGACTGAAGGGGATTACTGGAGGTGGGGAGGAAGTTGAGGTGAGGGTCAGGGGGACAGGAGGGATAGGATTGTGGGTTGTAATGGGACAGGAGGGGGAGAGGATGGCACTTAGGGGTCTGGCTCAGTGACTGGGGTGACAGTGGTACTGTCCCTGAGAAGGAAAACCTGTTGGAGGAGCAGGTTTAGAGGAGATGCTAAGCTCAGTGGACATATGATGAGGTGACGACCTAGGGGGCAGGCAGCGGAAGGTAGACATGGGTCAGGGGCTCAGAGACAGATTTCAGAGACATCTGCCTGTAGATGGAAGTTAAGTCCAAGGTTATGAGGGACAGCATGCAAGTGTGCAGTGGAAAAGACCAAGAGAATTGGGTTGTGAGGGGCAGGGAGAGAGTGAGAATGGTGCCTGAACATGCCCCGCCACGGACCACCCATCTCTCTGCTATTGCAGGAACTTGCTGCCTCAGACCGTGCCCGTCGTCAGGCCCAGCAGGAACGGGATGAGATGGCAGATGAGGTGGCCAGTGGCAACCTTGGCAGGTGAGTGGCCCATGGTAATTTGGGGCAGGGCACTCTCCTCTGGCTGTCCTGCCTTCTCACCCCCACCCCTTCCCTCTCTCCCTAGGGCAGCCATTCTGGAGGAGAAGCGTCAGCTGGAGGGGCGCCTGGGGCAGATGGAAGAGGAGCTGGAGGAGGAGCAAAGCAACGCAGAGCTTGTCAATGACCGCTACCGAAAGCTACTCCTGCAGGTGAGCACAGCCTGGCCACCGTAAGCCCCGACGAGCCCAGGTCCCTACTCAGCTGGGACCATAACCCTTAGCCCTCTTATTCAGCAAACAGAAAAGGAGATATTTGAGTTGGGTTTTGAAGGTTGAATAGGAGTTCACAAAAGAAAAAAAAATAAAAGGCATAATGCATTCGTTCGTCTTTCTGAAACTTCTCAAAGGCTGGATCCAGAGATGAATTATATGAGATCTCTATGGAGAATTATGTGCCTCCCCTCCCCCCCATATGAAGTTTCCTAGGGGATACAGACATGGGGCTATATTGTCACATTTTGTTGTTAGTTGCCATCAAGTCGATTCTGACTCATGGCAACCTCACATGTGCAGAGTAGAACTGCTGCATAGGGTTTTCAAGGCAGTGACCTTTTGGGAGCAAATTAACAGGCCCTTCTTCCAAGACGTCTCTAGATGGGTTCGAACCGCCAACCTTTTGCTAGCAGTCGAACGCGTAACTGTTTGCACCACCCAGGGACTCCGTTTCATTGTCTCAGGGATGTTACTTTGCACCTTATTTTCTTTTTTCCTTATAGTAACCTTGTATGGGATTTGACCTCAATCTTTTTTTCCCCTGCCACTTCTGGCAAAGTTCTGTTTCTTGACCTGGGTGAGAGTGACAACATGTTTGCCTCTTATAACTCATTAATCCATGCATTGGATTAGTTTGACTTTCCATGCCACCGTTTTACAATAAAAAGTTAAAAAAATAAAAGGATATGCTAATCATTCCTTCTATATGTTCCTGTGGGGATGAAAGGAAATAAAATATGAATCAGACTGGGTCTGACTCATTTTCGTGTCCCCAGCATGGGGCCTTGCTCAGAGTACGGGCTGAATAAACAAACAGGAACTATTATTAGGGGTGTGTTTACACATTCTCAATGTAGTAGCTGCTGTTTATGGAGCCGAAGTTTCTCAAAATGACCCACATATCACTCATACCAGAACCACCTGAGATGCTTGTTAAAAACACGATTCAAGGACCCTACTCCAGACCTGCTGAATCAGAATCTCTGGAGGGTGGGGCTGTGGAATCTGCATTTTTGTCACAAGCTCCCCAGATGATCCTGGTGCAAACAAAAATGTGATAACCCTTGGAATAGACCCATTCACAGAGGTAGAATTTACAGCCTTTAAGCAAGTTTGCAATAGTCTTGTTAATTTATTAAAATAGCAAAAAAACGTATCCGAAAGCTTAAAACCAGGGCTGGCAGTAATGTTGGCAGATAAGCCCATCACTACAAAGAAAAGTTAACAGTTGCTGAGTATTTAGTATGTATTAGTCTCTGTCCTCTGTATTTAACAATCATCAACTCATTTAATCCTGGGAGGTACCTGGATTTAATGACCACCTTCCCTCTGGACTCCACCATACATCCTGCCTTTCCCACCTGTGACAGGTGGAGTCGCTGACCACAGAGTTGTCAGCTGAGCGCAGTTTCTCAGCCAAGGCAGAAAGTGGGAGGCAGCAGCTGGAGCGGCAGATCCAGGAACTACGGGAACGCCTGGGTGAGGAGGATGCGGGGGCCCGGGCCCGCCAGAAGATGGTCATTGCTGCCCTCGAGTCTAAGCTGGCCCAGGCTGAGGAGCAGCTAGAGCAGGAGAACAGGTAGGTGGGAGAGGAGCTGTGTTACAATCACCTAGTTTCGAAACATCCAGAAGACATCATGATATTAACATTTGCTGATTTCCTCTATCATTTAGAAATGTAGGGTACTACACACCGTTCTGCAGAGACCCTGCCTTCTCCATTGTCCCACACGGGGGATGAGGTCAGGAACAGCCAAAGGCATGGGTTGGGTTGGTTAAGTCACATCATCCTTTATACAGGTGTACTACCTTTGGGCTGCAAGTAACTGTACCACCAATAAGAATATGATTTCAACAAATATATCAGTTAACTATGGCTGCATAACAAACCATCCTAAAACTTAGTGGCTTTAACAGCAACTCTTTATTATTGCCCGTGATTCTCTGGGCCGGCTGGTAGGTTCTGCTGATCTGAGCTTGGTGAGGCTCACTTATGTGTCTTTGGTCAGTTTAAGGTCACCTAGATGGGTTTGCTGATCTTAGCCGGGCTTTCACATATCTAAGGCCTTGCCTGGAACAACTAGGCCAACTTATCTGTGTTCCACATGGCTGCTCATCCTCCAGCAGGCTAGCCAGGATCGTTCACATGGTGGAGTTAGAGTTCCAAGAGTGTGTGGCAGTGTTAGAGGCCTAACCTCTGAACTGGTATAGTGTCACTGCTGCTGCATTCTGTTGACCAAAGCAAGTCATGTGGCCAGCCTAGATTCAAAGGACTAGAGAAATAGGTTCCACCTCATGATGGGAGCAGCTACAAAGTCACATTGCAAAGAGCAGGGATATAGGAAGGGGTGAGAATAGAGGGCCTTTTTTTTGCCATCTATCTATCACAAAAAGGAACTTTGTTTGCTCACATGATAAGAAGTCCAGAGCTGGGCAGCTGAAAGATGGCAGGGCTCCAGGTCATCGTCTGTGCAGTTCCTTTGGTCTTTCCCTCTTGCTCTCAAAATGATCACTTACTCCAAGCATCACACCCACACATATCCATATCCAAAAATTAGTGAAAACATGGGTCTGATCCTCAGAAAACATTTTTAGGAACCATCAGGCATAAAGCTAAGTATGCAGACACTCTGGAGAAGGGAGCCTGTGTGCCAGTTCTGGCCTGAATAAACTGTGGGAGCCAATTGGGGATGGGAAAGAGGGCTGAGGCCAGTCCATGTGCAGGATAGCCACAGGACAAGGCCATGGGGACAGAACCCCAGGGGAGCATCTCTCCTGATCTGGCCTTTCATCCCTCAGGGAGCGCATCCTCTCAGGCAAACTGGTGCGCAGAGCTGAGAAGCGGCTCAAAGAGGTGGTGCTCCAGGTGGAGGAGGAGCGGAGGGTGGCTGACCAGCTCCGGGACCAGGTAAGCAGCTAACATCATTGGGGAACCATGGGAAGTAGGATCACTGACCAAGAAGTAGCACGGGCTATCTCTGGAGGTAGTGAGCTCCCCATCATAAGAAGCAACAAACAGATGCTGGACTGGAAGTAGGTGCAATTATTATCATAGGGCTTGGAGCATTACCAGCGGGTGAGAAATGACTTTCCCTTTCTGAAATCTAGAAAGGGCCCTGGTTTGGCGCTGAGGCAGCCAACGTGAGGAAAGACATTAAACCCCACCCAGAGCCTAGACCAGGGCTAAAATAACAGCAACATGGTATGTATTTAGTGCTTGTTATATGCCAGCCACTGTGCTAAAGACATAACATGCAGTACATTTAATCCTTATCACAACCCTATAAGGTAGGTACTTTTATTCTTCCTCTTATTCAGTGAAGAAACTGAGGCACAGAGAGGTGAAATAACTTCTCAAAATTATTTAGCTAGTAAGGGGTGGAGCCAGGGTTCAAACTCCAGCACTCTGTCTCCAGAGTCTGTGCTCTTAAGCGGTTACTGTGTCCCAAGCATTGTGGTAACTGCTTTTTAAAAAATATATGCATGCATTGTCGGGTCATTTCTCTTACCAGCACCATTTCACAGGTAAGGAAACAAAAATTTTAAGAAGGAATATAATTTTCTCAGAGTTGGTAGATGACACAGCCTGGATAGTATCCCAAGTGTGTCTTATTCTAAGCAGAACGCCTGTGTCCCTAAAAGCTCAGCTATGTTTTAGATGCTATTCATTTCAGTTATTGAGCACCCCACTGCATGCCAGGACTGTCCTACCATTGAGGATACAGCTGTGAATGAGATAGAATGCCTTAATGGAGCTCATGTTTTCAGCATAGGAAAAGACACAATAAACCCTTTAAAAAAAAAAAAAAAGATACTTACAGATTGTGACAAGGACTGTGAAGAAAATAAAAGAGTGAAGGGAGAAGGAGATGCAGAGGACTGAGGAACCCTCTTTAGATTGGGGGGTCAGGAAGACCTCTCTGAGATGACATTTGAGCTGAGACCTGAAGGGTGAGAAAGAGCCAAGCAGAGGGAACAGCAAGTGAAAAGGCCCTAAGGTGTGGAAATAAGCTTGGTGAGTTTGAAGCAAAAAGCAGAGCAGTATGACTGAAGAAAATGGGGTGGGGTATTGAGTAATAAGAAATGAAGTCAGAAGGATTGGCAGGAGCCACATCACATGTGTCCCCTTCCCTAGAGAGAAAAAGATGGTACAGTCTGAGGATGGTCCTAGGGAACTTGTTCAGGTCAGTGGGTTTATGGGGAGAAGAGAAATGGTCAAGAGTGAGACCTTGCAGGGCCTGGGACCTTGTCCTTGGGAGCCAAGAGAGGGCTGTGAGTAGGGGAGGGGCAGGGTCAACTCTGGGTATAGAGAGACCCTCGGATTCCATGTGGGAGTTGGATTGGAACTAGAGACAGGAAAGGCTGGGGAGAGTCAGAGACCCTGCCTTCTCCATTGTCCCACACAGGGCATGGGGCCAGGAACAGCCAAAGACATAGATCAGGTTGATTAAGTTACATCATCCTTTATATAGTTGTATCACTCTGATAACTAAGGTCTGAACAGACAGCAGAGGATGGGACAGAGTCAGGGCAAAGGAAGGACAGGGCAAGGATATGAACTGGGCTCCCTGACCAAACCTCTCCCCTCCACCCAAGCTGGAGAAGGGGAACCTCCGAGTGAAGCAGCTGAAGCGACAGCTGGAGGAGGCTGAGGAGGAGGCCTCCCGGGCTCAGGCAGGCCGCCGGAGGCTGCAGCGGGAGCTGGAGGATGTCACTGAGTCGGCCGAGTCCATGAACCGAGAGGTGACCACGCTGAGGAACCGGCTCCGGTACGGCTGCCCTACATGAACCCTGACAAGCTGGTGGCATCCTCCATAAATGCAGGGGTGGCAAGGGGGGAATAGCATCCATGGAGGTGGAAGGGCAGTGGGTATGTTGCAGGAGAGCCAGAGCTGAGGTAATTTCTTTCTTCCCAACCCCATTTCTCTCTCTGTCTCATCTCTCTGCACCCGTTCTCTCCCTTTTTGCCCCATCTCTCTTTCTGTCCCTTCATCTCTCTGCCTCCCAGTCTCTCTCTGTCCCTCCATATTTCTCTGTTCCCATCTCTGTGTTTTGCCATCTGTCTCTATCCTCATCTCTCTGTCCCTCCATCTCTCTGTTGCTCTCTGTTCCCCTGTCCTTATATATCTCTGTCCTTAAATCTCTTTTCTCTGTCCCCATCTCTCTCTTTGTACCTCCATCTTTCTCTGTCCCCATTTCTCTGCCCCTCTATCTCACTGCCCCACATCCTTATATATCTCTTTGTCCCTCCATCTCTCTCTGTCCCCATCTCTGTCCCTCTGTCTCTCCATCTCTCTCTCTCTCTCTTTGTCCCCCGTCTCTGTCCCTCTATCATTATATCTCTTTTTCCCTCCATGTCTCTCTTTGTCCCCCTGTCCCTCCATCTCCATCTTCCCATCTCTGTCTGCCCTACCCCATCTCCCTCTGCTCTATCCTCCCCATTTCATTCACTCTTTCACCCCTCCTCTCCTCCACATCTCACTATCTCTCACTCACTCTCTCCTTGTGTCCCACATTTAATCTCTGTCTCCTGGTCTTTCCTCCCCACAGACGCGGCCCCCTCACCTTCACCACCCGCACCGTTAGACAGGTCTTCCGCTTGGAGGAGGGTGTGGCATCAGATGAAGAGGCTGAGGAGACGGAGCCAGGGGCTGGGGCCCCGCACCCAGAGCCTGACGGGGCCACGCAGGCCTCGCCCCACTGACCCCTCCATGCTAACTGGACAGGCCAGGGTCCCTCCCTCCCTCCTGGCTCCATAGGTGCCTGTCCCCAAACCCAGCCCTCTGGCTTCTTGCACTTTGGAGTTGGTGCCACTCTCTGGCACTGCAGCACTTATCGCTCCCCACCCCAGACCCCCTGAGACCCTTGTCAACCAACCCCCAAAACCCAGAGGAGTGGGGCAGGGTGGGGAGGCAAGGACTGGGACTCTGTGCTTCAGGGAAAATCTGGATGTAATTGGCAAGGATGGTCCTATGCTTTCTTCTGTTGTTCATGGTGGATATTAGGGAGGGCACCACAAGCTCCCCTACCCACCTCAGCCAGCGCCATGCGCTCCCGTTTCCCTAACGTCCACATCCATCTATATCTGTCTGTCTCCCAGATGGCGCAATGGTTAAGCTCTTAGCTGCTAACCAAAAGGTAATAGGTTCGAACCCACTATCGACTCCATGGCAATCTGCTTCCGTAAAGATAAATCTAGAAAAACCTATAGGGCAGTTCTATCCTATAGGGTAGCTATGAGTCGGAATCGACTCGATGGCAAACAACATCTGTCTAATGGCGCAGTGGTTAAGTGCTGCTAACTGAAAGATTGGTGGTTCGAACCCAGCTAGAGGCTCTAAGGGAGAAAGACCTGGAGATCTGCTTCCATAAGATTGCAGCCTAGGAAACCCTATGGGGCAGTTCTACTTGTCATTTCTGCTATGAGTCAGAATCAACCTAACAACAATGACCTCTCTCTATTTCTTTCTCTGTCCTTCTCACCCCTTCCTGGAGTCTCTATACCCCTTTCTCTCTGGGTTGCTCTTTCTGTTTTATCTCAGTCTCTGGGTCTTTCTTTCTGGGTGTCTCTCTCTCTTCCACCCCCTCCTGATCTCTCTCTCCTCTCTCTCTACTTAACCACTCTCCCATCCTTGAACTTCTGGGTGACAGAAGCTGAGCCCCAAACTTCACCATCCTCTGACCCTTGCAAAGAGGCGGGAGAAGGGGCTCCCCGACCCTTCACACCCTCTGCCCTTCCGGTTTGGGTTGCTCCTGTGTGATCAAGGTGCGGAGTCGCTGGTGGAGTCTCCCTTGCCCTCCCATCCTCCAGGCTCTGGCAGAAATAAACGCCACCCCCAACTGGCCCGTTTGGTCTGGCTGTGATTGTTCTCAAAGGGGAGCTTCTGGTAGGGGGAGCATAGGCTTCTGCAGGTGTGTGTGGTGTACCAGGCTCTTGTGAAGTAACGCTTTTACTCTTTACCCCGGCCTCCAAGGAATTCCCTCCATTTTACAGATGAGAAAACTGAGGCTCAGAGCTGCCAGGTCCCTGGCTCCAAGCCTCGCAGTCAGTGAGTGGCTGAGGCAGCACTGCACCTTTGCAACATAACAATAGGGCCCATTTGTTGAGAAGTCCCTGTGTACCCTGCACTGTGCTGAGCACACGATGTGGGCTTAGCAGTCTCATCACGGCCCCTTGAGGTTGAAATTCCATCGCTTGCCAGCACAGTGTCTAGAACAGTGCCTGGCATGTAGTTGGCATTTCATTAAATATTTGCTAAATGGGTAGACCAACCACCACCCAGCCATTTTAGAATGGTGGAAACAGGCCCAGAGAAGCTGAGTGACCTAAGGACACATAGGTCCTAAGAAGCTGAGCCAGGGTTTGAACCTAGGCTTCAGAGTTAGCAATACAGACTTAATCAGGTGAGGAGACTGAGGCACAGAGAGGTGAAGTAACTTGCTCAAAATTATTTAGCTAGTAACCTTGTGGCACAATGGTTAAGTGCTCAGCTGCTTATCAATGGGTTGGAGGTTCAGACCCACCCAGCACCTCTGCTGGGGAAAGACCTGGTGATCAGCTTCCATAAAGATTTGGAGGGAAAAAAAAAAAACCCTTTGCTGGCGAGTCGACTCCAACTCATAGCGACCCTACAGGACAGAGTAGAACTGCCCCATAGGGTTTTCAGGGAGCAGCTGATGGATTTGAACTGCCAACATTTTGGTTAGCACCAGGGCTGCAGACCTAGGAAACCCTATGGGGCAATTCTACTCTGTCACATGGGGTTGCTGTGGATTGAAAATTGATGTGACAGCACACAAGAAGGAGTGGAGCCAGGGTTAAACCTCCAGCCCTCTAGGGTCCTCAACTACTGAGCCTACATTGGGGACCCAGGTCCACCCCTCCCGTGGGGACTAGCCACCCTCACCTGGAGGAGTCAAATTCTCAGGCCCCCTGACATCCCAGGTAGGGCTATCCACATTTTTACTACCAGGGAAACTGAGGCAGGCACTTATTCCCAAATAACAAGGCGTGGGCAGCAATCAAGGTAATGCCTGAACCACCAGGGTCCACACCCTTGCCACTTTAAATATGACCCCAACACACACTTGAAGACTCGACCTCTCTGTCCACCGCCAAGTGTGCAGCCCCAGTCTGGAGCCCTTCGCCGCAGACAGCCAGTCAGGCAGCCACTTTTAAATGAAAAGGAAACTTTTATTTTGGTGGGGAGCGAGATGGCAGGTGGGTAAGGGGCATGACACTTTTTCTTTGGGGGGGGGGTGACATGCGGTAGCTTCTGCATTGGGCGGTTCATGCACCCAGGGTGGGCGTGGGGAAGGCTTGGAGGAGGGCCCAGCACAACCCCTCCCTCCCTGCCCTGGGGGTGGGCTGAGAAGACCCGCCGTTAGCACCAGAGTTGGACGATTTGCAGACCTCCCCTCCCCACACTGATTCCGGACCCCCGTCCCCATCCCTGAGAGCGCCCCCTAGTCACTCCTCCCACAACGACAGGCCAGGCCCGCCTCGCCCACATTTGAGAGACTTATTGCTGTGTGTGTGTTGGAAAGGGGGAGTCGCTGAGCTCAGGAAGACCCCCCGCATTCATTCCTCCCCAGTCGCCCCGCCCCCTGTCCTTGCGTTCTCGGAGCGCAGGAGGGGAGCGACATGCGTGTAGGGGCGCGTCATGCAGCGCATGCGTTTAGTTGCGGGCACCCTGGCAGCCAGGGGGAAAAGGGGAGCGGGACATAGACGCTGTCCCTTTAGTTCTCTCTCCCTCCCTCCCCGAATCCCACACTGTTGACTTGGAGAATGGAAAGGGGGGGGGGGGCTAGAATCACCTTTTGGACAGGTTTATAATGACGGTGGTCATTTTTTAAAAAAGCTGAAAGCTGAGTACGTGTGGTGGGTTGGCGATCAGCCGGGAGACTTTGGGAAGAGGTCAGTACCCTTTGGAAAAGACCCTCACGCACACCCCCTTTCCCCATCCCGTTCGGCTTTTGTGAGGGTCTGGGGTTATCTGGGGGATTTTGAAAAACTTGAACCCTTTGGCAATAGAATCAGTCCCCACCCCCTATACCCTGGTGCCCTTAGCCCTTTGCCCTGTCCCAGAACCTGCCCCACCCTTCACCCCTGATTCACCAGGGCTTAGGGTCCGAGGGAAGGATGGGGGGGGGGCTCAAAGTGCCCCTTGCATAGGAATCGTTGCATCAAGAATCGTGCTCAGCGACACCCCCAAGCCTCTAGGGCGGGGTTTCCTGAGGCCAGGGGAGCAGAGGGAGAGCGGCTGCTAATTCTGTGGCCCCCCAGCTCCAAAAGGGGGGCCGCTAAGGATTCTGGGACCTATGTGGTCTTTGGGCTTGAGGGAGGTAGCGCATCCTTGAGCCTGGATGGGAGATGAAATAGTCTTCCACCCGCGAGGGTGGCGGTGAGGGGAAGGGTGGGGAAGAGCAGGCTGCGGTATCAGCCTGGTGGGGTCTGTCATCGTTTCCCAAGCTTCTGATCTACACGTGTCCTTACATTCCGGTACATCCTCGAAGACCACTGGTGGACTGCTTTACAAACGGAAAACACTTCTAAATAAATGGTGACCTAGCCCAGCAGCAATGTCTGGACTTCCAGGCTTATGTACGAAGTACGTGCACTTTTAAATGTTCCTCTTGTACTACCTAAAACCTTAGCAGGGATACGAATACGACCCCCTGGGACATACTGGTGTCCACGAATAGGGTTCCACTTGGGCACCACTTCAGGAAAGGGGGTGCCCTTGAGAATCTGGTTCCCTGGAATTGCAGACAGGTCGCGCCTATCTTGGGAATTCTAGCATCAGGGGAACCTGACGAGGATGAGTCTGTTAGGGGCTTGGCGGTGTCTGTGGAGGCGGCAGGCCCAAGGATTTGGGGGTGTCTGGGAATGTCAGAGTTGGGGGAAAGATCTGGGGCATCCCAAAAGCTGAAAATGAACTGAAGGATTGGGTCAAGACTGGGATGTCCGAGAGGTGCTGGGTCGGGGTCAGGGGTGTATCTTGTGTGCAGAGGTTAAGTCCCAGGAGTGTGTGGGAACTTGGCGGGGGGGGGGTGCGGGGGCCAGGGCCGAGTCTCAGGAATTCCGAGGTGCAGGTCTCATGTCCTAGGAATCTGGGGGATTGGAGGCTCTTGTGTGCTAGGGCCAAATCCCACCAGGAATTCTGGGGTGCGAGGTCTCAGTCCATGCAGCAATGAGAGGCGAGCAGATCCCTGGGCGGGGGATGAGGGTGGTGAAATTTACCTGAGGGACCCTCCAAAAGGCCGAGGGAGCGGCTGTCGCCTGCCCACCTCGCACCTCCCATCTCAGCTCAGCTCCTGTGTTTGGCTTGGCGGTACTGTCCCTCCTTCCCCCACATTGTTTCCAGGTTTTTGTTTTTTATAATCAACACCTGTTGGGATGTCCTCCTGGGGTGAAGGGTGGGAGGTCCCAGCCCCCTTCCCAGAGTGCCCCTCCCCTGGAATGCGTAGCATGCAGCCCCTGGCGGCTTATTGCTGCGGTGGAGGGGAGGGTCCGGGCTGAGGGAGGCATGCGGGGGGCGGGGGGGGGAGGTGCCCCAAGATGTGATCGGCATCATTTGGACGTATTTACACGAGTTGATGGGAGGGACGGTGGGTGTTCTATGGCTCATGGAGACCTGAGAAGGCTTTATTTTGGGGATAGGGGAGAGTTGGGGGGACGGGCTCTGGACCCTCCCCCTCCATCCTGGGGACCCAGGTGGGAGGTGTGGGGCCCGGGGGTGTCTGCTGGCGTCGTCGTCTCGGTTGCATATTATTAATGACTTTTTGTTTTTTTGTTTTTTAAACCCTTTTCCCCACCCCCCACCCCCAGTTCCTTTGACCTTCTTCCTGGTCACCCCCGAGTCCCCCCACAGGGGGGAGGGGAGCGCTAGAGGATAGAGGGCAGGGTTGGGGGAGCGCGGCGGGTGGCTCGGGGAGAGCCAGGGGGCGTGGCAAGGGGCGCTAGGCGCAGGGACACCCCACTCAGGCCCGCGATGCTGCTCAGGCTGCGGGATTTCTCGTAACCTGGGGGTAGTGGGGGGGCCGAGGAGGGGGACAGAAACACGGGGAGGACGCGTGAAAGACGGGGTGGAGGGGGAGGGTCCGACAGACAGAGAGAGACCCCAAGACAGAGACAGGAGAGACAGAGAGACAGGGACAGAAAAAAAGGCAAGAGAAAGGAATGGAGGACAGGACAAGAGACACCCAGAGGGAGAAGGCGAGACAAAGAAGGCGAGAGACGGGGAGAGAGGATAAGAGACACAGAGAGAGAAAAGACAACACGGAGATAGAGACAGACGGCAAGAAACAGAACAAGGAGACGGAGAGAGAGAGAAGTGGGCAGATGTGAGAGTCAGTCAGCATCCACAAGAAAGGCTGAGACATGGGGGAGGGGGAGAGACTCTGGGTTAGGAGGCAGGATGGTGCCCACCGAGCCTCCCCCCAACCCCCCATTGCAACCCATCCCCCCACCCCCTGTCCCCGTTGGCCCCCTCATCTGAGGCAGAAAGGTGGGGGGCAGCAAGGCGGAATGGTGGGTACATGGGCAGGAAGCTCTGGGCGCTGGAAGGGGACTCGGGTGGGATGCATGTAGGGGAAGCAGCCAGTGGAGAGTGCTTGGGGGAACTGGGGTGCCGTCTGGGGGGGGTGGTCTAGCCTAGTTGTAGGGAAGAAAGGGAAGGTGGGTGGTGGGGTCCATGGGGCACTAAATGGAGAAGTTGGCAGTGGCTTTGGGGGTCATTATGAACATTTGGAAGGGTAAGAGCAGGCAAGGCTTATCCAGAAGGTTCTAAGGGGATATCTTAAAGAGTCCAAGAAGGCTTTGGGGTTCTAACAGGTGACCTGAAGTTTCAAACAGTGTCTTGATAGATTGCGTGGTTTCTTAAAAACTTGAAAGTGTCTTAAGGGTTCTGCAAGTGTTTGGGGCTGTTCTATGGCTTTTCTGGGCTGTGAATGCTAGGGGTGTCTTGGCCCCCCAGGAGAGGGCCTGCGGGAATTCAAAGCCCAGTATCTCGGGGACACCCCCTCCCAGCCATTCCCAGTTGCTAACCTGGGGGGAAGGGGCAGGGGGGGACCGAGGGTCTCACGAGGTCTCAGGCGGTGACAAGAGCTGGGGACAGAAATACACAGAGTCACGGTGGGAGGGAAGGGGGCTGGGGGACCCCCCAGAACAGCCTCACTGTTGGGGGGACGGAGAAACGCCGGGACCTCTTCCTCCTCGCTGGTGTTTTCCGGGTGGAGGGGAGCAGTGAAATGAGGGGCGGCCAGAGACATCAAATATGGAAGGAGCTTCCGGGATGGCTGGGGGTGGGGAGGGAAGAAGGACAGGGCTGGGGAGGAAGTGGGAATGAATATCAAGGGTTAGACTTAGAGGGTCTAAGGAGAGAGGTGGAGGAAGATTGAGAAGGGAGGGTCAGGAAGAGGGGGGAGGACAGGTCAGGAGGGAGAGAGAGTGGTGGTAGGAAGAGGGGTCTGGGGGAAGAAGGATAGAAGGGAAGGGAGAAAGAGGAGGGGGTGCGGGAGGCAGATGGAAGGTGAGGGGCAGCGGAAAGTAATCAGGACATTTAATGGGGCAGAGGACTCAGTCAACCCCGTCAGCTCCCACCATTATTTGAGTTCAGTGAATGGATTTTGGCATCATAGGCAAGAAAAGCAGGGACTTCCCCAGCCCACCCACCCACTCTCACCCCAAATCCTCCCTCACTCAGATTCCCAAGCTCAAGCCCCTTCCCACCCCCACTCCCCTCCACCCTACAAGGGCCCTTCCAGACCTGGGGTTGGGGAACAAAGGATGATAACAGGATTGGGTCCAAGCAGTGGGGAGAGGGGAGCAGAGGTAGGGGATAGGCAATGGAGATGAAGATGGAGGATTGGGGCGGGGCGGGGGAGGGGGGAGTGTGTGGTTTGCAACAGGGAGGGATGGAGCAAGAAGGGCCAAGCAGCCCCTCTGGCTGGAAGCCTAGGTTCTCATCCCCGTCTGCTGGGTGGGCCTGGAGTTGGTCATGACCCTCCCTGAATTTCTAGGAAACAAGGGGATTTAGATGAGGCTGGCCCTGGAGGCTCCTCAAATTCCACGAAAACATCTCCCAAGGCTGAGGACAAAGATCTTTTAGGATATGTTTCTTTCTAAGGAAGACTCCACAAATGTTTGTTGAATAATGACTGATGGTTGTTTCCCATCACATTTAAGATCAAATATGGCCTCCTTACTCTGGCTCAAAAGCCCCTCATGATCTTTCTCCCCATACCCCCTCTGGCAGCCCTCTCCCCTTGCCCACTGAGCTCCAGCCACACTCCAGCCTCCTTGCTGTTTCTTGAACCAAGCTCATCCCACCTCAGGGCCTTTGCATACACTGTTCCTTCTGCCTGGCTGGCACTTTTCACTCTTCAGGTTTCAGGGCACCTTCTCAAAGAGAACTTCATTGACCTCCTTACCTAAAGTGGCCAGAATAATTATCTTTTTTTTTTTTTTTTCCTTAGTTGTTTATTTTCTACTTCATCCAATCAAGGGCTGGCAAATTTTTTCAGTAAAGGCCCAGATGGTAACTATTTGCCACATGGTCGCTGTGGCAACTATTCCACTCTGCTGTTGTAGTGCGACAGTGGCTGCGTTCCAATAAAGCTTTATTTACAACAGGGGCCGTAGTTGGCCAAGCCCTGCTTTAGATGATAAACTCTATGACTGAAGCGATTTTTGCTTTGTTTGCTACCATCTTACTCCAGTGGAAACAGTGCCCTCAATAATTAGCTGCTGGATGGATGGATGGGTGATGGATTGATGAATGATGGATAGATGATGCATAGATGGTTGGATGAAAAGAGCTAGGGGTCATCTATAGTTGTTTGAGGCTTACAGAATATATGTTAAATGCCTAACACCTGGTAAGTGCTTGGTTATGTTTGCCAAATGATTAATCTACTAAATATCTCTTCACTCTATCTCCCTCCTCCCCAGCCCCCAGGCCCAACCCTCCTGCCCCACCCCACAACTCCCTCGCCCCATCCCCTCCTCTCTGTCCTCACAGCCCTGGTCCCGGGCTCAGCCTTGCCCTCTTCCCATTAAGCCTCATCCCAGTCTCCATCCTGGCCTCCAGTCTCTCCCACCAGTCCAGCCCCATAGGGCCCCCGAGGGGTCTTTCTATGCCCAGAGCTGACCTGCCCCTCCCCGCTCACCTGACACCACCCCCCAGGTCCCCTGGACAAGGTCCTAGCCCTTGCCTGACCTCTGCTCTCCTGCCTCCTTTCCATCTGCTAGTCCCTCTCCACCTGTGGTCCAGTCTCCCAGCCTTTGCTTCTACCATTCCCTCTAATCACTACAGTCAATGGGATTACTTCCTCCTCTTACACATCCTTCAGATTTCACAGTGGAGACCAGCTCCTGCATCCTTTCCTGATGTTCCCTCACCCCATCCAGGGAGATTTGTGGCCTTCTCTTACAGTGCTCAGTGCTACCTCAATTTCTGCATCTATCACCTCTGATAGGGACTGTCTGAAGTCCCTGGGTGGTGCAAATGGCTAACGCATGCTCGGCTGCTAACCAAAAGATTGGCAGTTCAAGTCCACCCAGAGGCACCTCGGAACAAAGGCCTAGCCATGTACTTCCAAAAAAATCAGCTATCGAAAATCCTATGGAGCACAGTTCTACTCTGAAACACATGGGGTCACCGTGAATCGGAGTTGACTCCAGGGCAGCTGGTTTTGGGACTGTCTAGGTCTGTCAAGGAGCCTTGGTGATGCAGTGGTTAAGCACCTGGCTGCCGACTGAAAGGCTGGTGGTTTGAACCTACCAGCCACTCCATGGAAGAAAGATGTGGCAGTCTGCTTCCATCAATATTACAGCTTTGTGGGGAACATCTAGTTCAATTAGCATAACAGTTTATAAAGACATGTTCTACATTCTACCTTGGTGAGTAGTGTCTGGGATCTTAAAAGCCTGTGAGCAGCTAACTAAGATACTCCACTGGTCGCACCCCTTCGGGAGCAAGGGAAAATGAAGAGAACAGGATACAAGGAAAAGATTAGTCCAAAGGACTAATGGCCCACAGCTACTATAGCCTCCACCAGACTGAGTCCAGTACAGCTAGATGGTGCCCAGCTACCACTACTGACTGCTCTGACCAAGATCACAACAGAGGGTCCTGGACAGAGCTGGAGAAGGATGTAGAACAAAATTCTAACTCACAAAAAAAAGACCAGATTTACCGGCCTGACAGACTGGAGAAACCCCGAGAATATGGCCCCCAGACACCCTTTTAGCTTAGAGGTGAAGTTACTCCCGAGGTTCACCGTTCAGCAGGGGATTGGACAGCCCCATAAAACAAAACAGGACTAATGAGGCACAGCAGTCCAGGGACAAGGACTAGAAGGCAGGAGGGGACAAGAAAGCTGGCAATAGCGAACCCAAGGTTGAGAAGGGACAGTGTTGACATGTCGTGGGGTTGTTAACCACTGTCATAGTGCAATATGTGTACTAACTGTTTAATGAGAAACTATTTGTTCTGTAAACCTTCACCTAAGGTACAAAAAAAAAAAGGATTATCTATGTGAGATCAAGTTGACAACAGCAACTCAAAAGATCTGATGGGAAGCCCAGGGGCCAGTGAGTTGCAGATAATGGTGATGGAATTATTTGGAAAAGGATAGTGAGAATAGCAGCACAGCTGGAAGAATATAATAGATATCACTGAATTGTACATGTAGAAATTTCTGAAATGCTGTATCTTTGGCTATGTATATTTTCACCAAAAACAAAGGTCCTCCAAGTTCAAGAAGGGAGAGTGCTGACATGTCGTGGGGTTGTTAACCAATGTCATAAAACAGTATGTATACTGACTGTTTAACGAGAAACTATTTGTTTTATAAACCTTCACCTAAAACACAATAAAAAAAAAAAATTTAAAAAGATTACAGCCTTGGAAACCCTTTGGGGCAGTTCTACTCTGTCCTATAGGGTGGCTATGAGTCAAAATCGACTTGACGGCAGTAGGTTAGGTCTATATCTGCCTCGCCACCAACCTGGGTGCTCTTGGGGGTAGGGGGCAGGTGGATTTTGTTTCCTGTTGAAAACCCACCCCCATCCCATGCCTAGCACCGCACCTGGGACACAGGAGTGCTTTCTAAGTGCTGGCTGGACTAGCAAAGGATTGGATGGATGACTGAGTCTTCCTCACTCCATCCTGCACCCAGGAGAGTGTCTTAGGTGTGCACCCTGTTTTCCTGATTGAATTAAAAACTCAAGGATGGAGGCAGGGAGAGAGATGTGAATACGGTGAAGATGGGGTCAGTCGTGAGGGAGGGGTAGGGGGGTCAGGCATGAGGTGTGGGAGGTTGGGGTTAGTTCTTGGGGGTTAGTGAGGGGCATCACAAGTCTTGGGGAAGGCAGGAGGTGTCGGGGTGGTGTTAATTGGGGGAGCTTTTCACAGTGAGTGGGAGGGGATTTCAGTCAGTGGGGTCTGCCTGTTCTCAGAAGGGTTAGTCAGGAGGGAGGGAGGAGTCCGAGGAAGGGGATGGGGGGGTACTTACCCTGGGGGGAGGGGTTTCGTCCACTAGGGGGATATCCAGGCCGCGGCGTTGGCGTTGAGGTCGGGCAAGAAGCTGGGGGGCCCTGGCTTACGCCAGTCTGGGGGGGCCAGTGGGGGAGCACCGGTGGCTGGGGGTGGGGGAAGAGGCCAGAGGGTCCAGGGTGGGGTTGGGGGGAGATGGAGATGCAATAAAGATAGGTGAAGGGTCAGTGGTGAGGACACTTGTTGGGGGGGCGGGTCCGGGAGGGAGGTGGTTTGGGGCCAGGGGATGGGAGAAGTCCAGCACCTCCTCCCCCATCACCCTCTCCTCCCTCCCCTAGTTGGGGAGAGAGGGAGGGTCTCAGGGAGCCAGTGGAAGATGCCTCACCTTTTCGGATGGAGCCATCAGGGGACGGGGCATAGTCAGTGAGGAGGAAACAGGCTCGGTCGCGGCTGTAGCGGCCTCGACTTCCTGGGGTGATGGGGCTCTTGTCTTCCGGGGACATGGCAGGCTGGTCAATGGCTGGGCAGTCCTCATGGGCAAGTGCAGCTGCTGCCGGATCCCCATTGGGGCGGGGATCTGTGTCCCGAGGGCGGTCAGACAGAGAGACAAAGCAGAGAGTGAGGTGTGGGACTCATGTGGTTGTCAACAAGGAGAGGGTATTAGAATAGAAAGATGTCCAGTGTTGGAAATAGGAGACTGGAAGTAGGGCAGGGTGTTGGGAAGGGGTGGTGGAAAGGGTAGTGGGAGGGGCACAGCTGAGAGGATATTAAGAGGGTGTGGCTGGTGGGTTTAGGGAGGGGATCATTGGGGAAGGGTGTTGAATGTTGGGAAGAGCAATTGGGGTAGAGAAGGGTGATGGGGTATTGGATAGAGTTGGTGAAGGGGAGGGTATTGAGTGTTGGCAATTTTGGATAGAGTTGCTTGAGGGCATGATATTGAGTGTTGGAAAGAGCAATTGGAGTAGGGAAGGGTGACGGGGCAGGGTATTGGCATATTGGATAGTGTTGGGGGCAGGTGTTGAGTGCTAGGAAGCGGTGGTTGGGTCAGGTCTTGGGTGCTGAGCAAGGCAGGACTGGGTTCAGGTGTTGGGGAAGAGGTGGCTGGGGGAAGCCAGTTGGATTCCAGGAAGCAGGCTGCAGTAGGGTGTTGGGTAGAGTTGGTTGACTCCAGTGAGTGTGAGGTGCTGGGAAGGGCAGGCCTGGGGTAGGATGTTGGGGGGGGTGGGGGCTGGGAGGTGGCTGTTCAGGGAAGTGTGTTGGGTGCTGAAGAGGGCATAGTGGAGAAGGGTTGGAAAGGTGACAGATGAGTGAAGGGGGGGGTTGGGGGTCCCCCAGGCTCTGACTCGAGCTATTTTTAATTGGTGTGAAACTGGGTCAGCAGCTGAGGGAGCAAGATGGGGGCTGGGTGGCCCAGCTCCCTTCCTTGACCTACTTAGGGCAAGGGGGTGGGGCCCACCAGCCTCTCCCTCCTCCCGGGCACCCAAATTCTGGCCTCTCGGAGGCCCAGACTCCCCTGGGGGGAGGGGCACACACACACACACAGTCCACTTTCTTCTCCGCTTATCTCCCTTCCTCCCAGCAACAGCTCTCTGGCCCGTTCTCTCAGACCCTTCTCAGACTGCCTCTTAGCTAGAGAGCAGGCAGGTAGACAGAGCCCACTGGGCCCTGGTCTCCAAGATACCCTCTTGGTCACGTGACCATCCACCTGACCCTCTGGGTCTCTATGCTTGGCCTCTGATTCTTGGTTCTGAAGTCGGTCTCCCTCTCTTGGTCTGTCATTAGAACCTAAACTTTCTACCTCTCTCTGTCTCAATTTCTCTGTCCTCTCTCGCTCCTCTTGCTCAAGTCCTGTTTCTCTCTGTTCTTAGTGACAATCTCTTGGTCTCTGGCATCCCTGCCTCAGGCTCTCTTTTTCTCAGCCTTGCCTCTGGGACACACTCACCTTCTGTAACTGTACCCCGGCTTCTGTCTCTGGTCTGCCCCTGACTCATGTACTCATTAAAGTTCCTGTGGGAATCCCTCTTTCTCTGAGTCTTTCTCACTGTTTGCTGATTATCCTGCCTCCCACTGCCTTTGCCTCTCTGAACCCTCTGGGTACCTTTGTTGCAAGCCTGTCTCTCCTCAAAACGATCTCTTTCCTACAAAATCTGCGTTTCTCTGTGACTGTCTCTTTCAGTGTCTCCTCCGTGCCCTGAGCTCCTACTGTTTCTTGGTCTCTATTCCCTCTCTGATGTTGACCACCCCAGTGTCTCTGAACCTCAGCAACCACCTTGTTCTCCCCTCAAGACCTCTCCACCTTTTCCCATTGGTCACCACCATCCTAGGCCCCCACCTCCACCCCTCACCCCCAAGCTCACCTGCCCGGTTGATCTCAATCACCTCCTCCTGAGCCAACGGGCAAGGCTCCCCAGGGGCCGGCAGAGGAGGCAGCCCCATGATCCCGAGCCCCCCCGCGCCCCCCCTGAGTAGCCCAGGGTGCGTATGGGGGCCCGGTGGGTAGGCCCCAGCCACAGTCACCCCCATGGAGGGTGGGGTGATGGGAGGCGGGGGGCTGATGCCACCGCTGCCGCGGTGAGGGTGAGGGTGAGGTAGGGGTGGCGGGGGCGGATCGGGCTTGCAGTAGTTAGGAGAGCCAGGCTGCGGAGGCCGGGGGATGTGTTTGTTCTTCTTCTTGGGCAGCTTCTGCTTGGCCATAGCCAGAGAATAGTACATGCCAAAGTTGTTGACAATGACAGGCACGGGCATGGCGATGGTGAGCACCCCCGCCAGAGCGCACAGCGCCCCGACCAGCATCCCTGACCACGTCTTGGGGTACATGTCTCCGTAGCCCAGCGTCGTCATTGTGACCACGGCCCACCAGAAGCCGATGGGGATGTTCTTGAAATAGGTGTGGTTGGAACCCAGGATGTCGTCGGGGTCGGCGCCAATGCGCTCAGCATAGTAGATCATGGTGGCAAAGATGAGAACACCCAGCGCAAGAAAGATGATGAGGAGCAGGAACTCGTTGGTGCTGGCGCGGAGTGTGTGGCCCAGCACGCGCAGCCCCACAAAGTGGCGGGTCAGCTTGAAGATGCGCAGGATGCGCACGAAGCGGACAACGCGCAGGAAGCCCAGCACGTCCTTGGCGGCCTTGGAGCTGAGGCCCGAGAGGCCCACCTCCAGATAGAAGGGCAGGATGGCCACGCAGTCGATGATGTTGAGGCTGCTCTTGAGGAACTCCACTTTGTCCGGGCAGAAGGTGATGCGCATGAGGAACTCGAAGGTGAACCAGATCACGCACACGCCCTCCACGTAGGTCAGGAAGGGCTCCGTCTCCACCTCCACGTTGGTGATGTTCTCCGGCGGGGCCCCGGGGATCGGGGAGGCCTGCGTCACCGTCTTGTTGCTGATGTGAATGAAGCCCTCATGGGTCTCCAGGCAGAAGGTGGTGATGGAGATGAGGATGAAGAAGAGTGAGGCAAAGGCCACATACTACAGGGCAGGGCAGGAGAGAGAGGGAGAGATGACCAACCCAGGCATCTGGTCTGCCAGCATCTTGGCGAAAGCCTTCCAGGGCCCCTTCTCCCAGCCTCCTACCCCAAACTCAGGGGAATCCAGGCGGCCCAACCCCCTCTCTCCATCATTTCCTGCATCCTATTCTCCCCTCCAAAGCTGGCACAAGGGGAGGGAAAGGAACAAAAGCAGCTCTCCCCCCTAACTCGAGAGAAGAGCTGGTCCCAGCAGAAGCAACAGATGGGCAAATTCTTCCCTGGAAACAGCAATTCCTGGCCCCTCGCTCTGTCTCCCAGACCACCTCCCCACTCCCTCCTGTTCCCTGTGTTCTATCTCAGGGCTCCCAGGCAGGGTCCAAGTGTTCTGCTTTGGGATCTGGGAGGGAGGGCAACTAAGATCACACACTTTCTGTGTCTCAGAGACTTTGGGTCTCAGCTTGGAGCTGGGAGAAGAGGAAGAGGAGAGGGTGGGCAGGGAGGCAGAATCACAAAGTAGTTAAGAGTCAGATAGCCTGGGTTTGAATACGGCTTTTCCTCTGCCTAACTTGGGCAACGGCTATTAACAGAAAGGTCAGCAGTTCGAACCCACCAGCCACTCCACTGGACAAAAAACTGGCGATCTGCTTCCATAAAGATGACACCCTAGGAAACCCTATGAGGCAGTTCTACTCTGTCATATTGGATTGCTATGAGTCAGAATTGACTTGAAAGCACACTACGACTTTGGCAAGGAGTAAGCTTCTGAATCTCAAGTTTTTCATCGGATCATTTTGAGGATTATATTAGATGAATGCACAAAGGGCTTCGCTCCAAATACAGTGCTCAGAACACAGGAAGAGGATTTTATGTGTTATTAGGGTATGGGGGCATGAGTTGGGGGGGCAAGGTGGAGATCTCAGAGAGGGGAAAGGGACAGGTTTTAAGGCCTTTGAAGAGGAGATAGTGGCAAGTTTCAGGACCCAGAAAAGGGGAAAGGCTGGTTGAGGACGTCATCTGGAAAGGACAGGGCAGAGTGGAGCCACAGAGAAGGGGGTGGGAGTCAGAGCTCTAAAGAGGAGAGGTGGTGAATGGTTAAGACTACCAAGAGCGAAGAGGACACAGAATGGGGAAGGGGTCCGGGTTTAAGGTTCTGGAGTGAAAGGGACAGAGCGAGAGCTGGTAGAGAGAACAGGGTCAGAAAGAAAGAGGGGAGGGGACTTCAGTCAGAGGTGCAGAGACTTGGGGGGGGGTTGTGCCTGGGCTATTTCAGAATTGGGGGGCAGGCCAAAGTCCTGCCAAACAATGGTGTGGGTTTTGATTAAAGCCTTGAAGAGAGGAGGTGAGGTCAAGGTCTTGGAGAAGGAAGGCGATGGGCCAGGACCCTAGAGAGGAGAGTGGGCTTTATATGTAGAGGAAAAGGGGGAAGGGATTGGCGTAAGGGGCGAAGACGGGGCTTTAATCAGATAGGTTCAGGAGAGGGAGAGCCTGAGGGAGTGGGCTTGACTTCAATCAGGGGTGCAGAGCAGAGAGAGGCTCCAGGGTCAGGCTGCAGAGTGTACCCTAGACCTTGGGGTAGGCCAGGGTCAGCCCTAACCCTCTCCACACCCACCTTTCTTCATAGAAGTGAAGGGGCGGGGTCTCGCCTTCGGGAGAGCTTGACTTTAACCAGAGATGCAGAGCAGAGAGGGGGCCAGTGTCGGGTCCACACAGGGAACCTTGGGGTGGGCCAGGGGTCCACACGGGCCCTCTCTACTCCCCCTCCCCGTTTCTCCGTAGTGGTTTAAGAGGCCAGAGGCCTCCACAGAACGCATGCCCGGTGCTCCCCCGCCCCCTCTGAGCCGGGAGCTCGGCGCAGGCTGCGGCACCGCAGTGGGGGCGGGCCGGCAGGGCCAGGGGGGAGGGGCGCGCGGCGGCCAGCACAGCGGACAGCTCCCCCGCCGCAGTGCGCAGCCGCAACGGATGGAGGCCGGCTTAACCCCTTCCGAGCCGGAGCGGAGCAGCGCAGGTAGTGCGCAGCCGCCGTGCGGCCGCTTCGCAGCTGGAGGCCACAGGCCAGGAGCTTTATTAACTCCTTCCCTCCCAGGGCATGGAAGGGAAGGTGGGCACTCGCTGCAGCATCGGTCAGGTTTAACCCCTTCCCCCTCGCCCCTCCCCCCCGCCAGGGATCAAAAGCGTAAGGGACAGGAGGGCATGGAGTCCCTGTAAGAAGGAAAGGAAAGATTACCGGGAAGGGAGCAAGACGGAGAAGGTAGGGCCTGCCCCTCCACTTAGCGTTGGCCTCAGCTCTCAACTCTCTCAAGCAATCTCACTTAGAGGCTAGAAGGCGCTTGGCATTCCGTGGACATTCAAAATACATTTGTTAAGTAAATGAGTGACCCCCGCAGCTGTCCCAAACCCCCAGCCTGACCATCACAGCAGGACTCTACCTCCATCCCTTCCCTCACCTCAGCACCCTTCAAAAGGGTCACAGGAGGGAAGGGCGCTCCAGGCCATGGGGGAGGAGGTCCGCTCAGAGGCCATAGGGGCCATTTGGGGCCAAGTCCCTTCTGCACCTCCTTCTCCCCACCTCCCCCCACCCAACTCCAAATCTCGCCAACTCAGCGCTTCCCGGGGACCAAATTTTATGCGGTGCCTCCGGGGGGGGGCCCCCTCCCCCGGGCTCCCTCCCCCGGCGCGAATGCGGCACTGCGGCTCCACGTCCTTCCCGGCCCAGGACAAGGCACGGTGGGGGGAGGGGACCGGGACCTGCTCCTCTGGGTGTTTGGGACCCCAGGAAGCTGGGAAGGGGAGCAGGGCTGGATCGTCCCTCTTTCCAATTCTCCCATTTTAAACTGTCCCTCTCCAACAATTTCTGCCTCCAGGGTCTGAGGGCAAGGGAGGAAGTTAAGGGAAGGAGGAAGTTCGGGGGTGGGGGGGAGTGTAGCCATTTAGTCTGGGAAGTTGCAGCTGCTTGAGGAAAGTTTTTTGGGAAGTTTGAGGGAGCTTTGGGAAAACTCTGGAAATTCGAGGGAGATAAGACGGTAGGAAAGAACGGAGGGACAAAGGGTCTTTGCTGAGGTAGGAGCTCTTTGATTCATTTTGGGTGGGGGGAGAGGCCGAGGGGCTCAGTCCTGGGCTTTGGACTAGAGGAGTTTGAGAGAGGAAGGGAAAGCAGTGCTGTGAGGGTAGGGGGGGAAGGCAAGGTAGAAAGAACTGGGAGTTATTTTGAGGGGGAAGTTTTTGTGCTGATGACTTGAAGCGGGTCCCAAGGATTGAGGTTAGAAAAAGTTCTGGGGCAGGAGGGAAATGAAGAGAGGAAGTCACTTGATTGATCAGGAAAGGGATTGAGGGGCTCTGGGGGAACCGAGAGACAGAAAGTCAGTTGTGCAGTTTAAAAGATGGAAGAAAGAAGCTGGGAGCATCTGTGGATGAGGAAGAATCGGTTCTGGAGGGCATATGGGGGTTTCTGTAGAGGAAAGGCATATTATGGGGCCCAGGGGTCTTCTGGAGACACCAAAGAGGAATATGAAGGGCTTGAGAGAAGTCTGGAGCTTTAGGGGAAAAGTTTTGGGATGGGAGTTGGGGAGGTGAATGTGGGAAGGGACATGAACACAGAGGGGGCCCAGGGGGAAGATGTCCCAGGACTCAGTGTTGCAGTGAGGGGGAGAAGTGTCCTGGCAGGAGTAAGCATTTTGGGAGTTCAGAAGAGGCCAAGAAACTGAGTTGGAGTGGAGTGTCTTCTAAGAGTTTGAGGGTAGAAGAGGAGAGCGGCGGCGGGGCGGGGCGGGGG